GAGAGATTTAAGAATCGTAGTGGCATACACAGTGTGATAAGGCGTGGTGAGGCTGCCAGTTCTGACAAAAAAGTGGCTAAAAAATATGTGCAGGACTTCAAGGGGTACATAAGAGGCTGAACAATTAGAACCCCAACAAGTGTTCAGTTGTTACAAAACAGGCCTGTTTTGGAAGAAAATGCCAAACAGGACCCATATTACTCAGGGGGAAAAGGCACTCCCAGGACGCAAGCCTGGAGATTGCAAAGTGAAGCCTTTACTCGTGTATCACTCAAACTCCCAAAGTGTTCAAGAAAAACAGTATCGTCAAGACTAAATTGTGTTATGTGGAGAGCAAAGAGTAAGGCATGGGTCACTAGAGGCATTTTCCTCGATTGGTTCTATGACATGTTTGGCCTCAGTGTGAAAAAATACCTCCTGGAAAATAAATTGCCACTCCAGTGCCTCCTGTTAATGGACAATGCTCCTGCTCATCCTCAAGACTTGGAAGAGTGAATTGTGGGGAAAGTTTAGTTTTATCAGTCAAGTTATTGCCTCCTAGCACCACTCCTCTCCTCCAGCCCATGGACCCGCAGGTCATTTCAAACTTCAAAAAACTGTACACCAAAGCAATGTTTCATTATTATAATCAAGGGGGAAGCGCTAAACCCGGAGGATTATACAGCGCCTGGGGGGGGATGTGGAAGGCATTCAGGGAACTGGAGCACAGATCCAATTCCCTAAATCAAGAGCCCCTCACCAACATCAAGGAACCTTCCTTGAGGGGAGCAATGTTTCAAAAGTGCTTTGAAGTGACCTCAGACACTGAATTGACCCCAAGAGAGTTCTGGAAAGATCACTTCAGTAACTTCAGTTGCATAAACCTTATAGGTAAGGCTTGGGAAGGAGTGACTTCCAGGATTTTGAACTCTGCTTGGAGAAAATTGTGGCTAGAATGTGTACAAGAGGGATTTTGAAGGGTTTGGGGCTAACCCTGAGGAGCCTATGCCAGTTGTGGAATCTATTGTGGCATTAAGGAAGTCGATAAATTAGACATGTGCAACTCTTGGGTATCTTTATTGAGGAAACGTTTCGTCACAGTGGCTTCATCAGTCCATACAAAGGAGAATCTTGAAGAACAGGAGGAGAATGAGGTAATCAGTCCCTCAACCTTGAGTCGATGTGGTCAGTCCATCAATCTTGAGTTGCAAGTGTCTAATTTATCAACGTGTCGGTTCTGTGAACCATTCATCTACAATCCTGTCAGACACTGCAACTTCTTGGGATCTTAATACTTGGGAATTCTTTGCTTGCCTAACCCTTGGGCACGACCTACTTCCACATTGAACAAATGTGACACCATCTACAACTGCTGCACCTCTCCTGCCTACGGTTTATAAGCTCCTCCTCCGCTCATATGCCGTATTCTATTCAAGATTGATGGACTGACCATATCGACTCAAGGCTGAGGGACTGATTACCTCATTCTCCTCCTGTTCAAGATTCTCCTTTGTATGGACTGATGAAGCCACTGTGTGGCAAAACGTTTCCTCAAAGATACCCAAGAGTTGCACGTGTCTAATTTATCAACGTGTCGGTTCTATGAACCATTCATCTACAATTAAGGAAGTCCATGGGGTTAGTAGTGGCGAGGATGTGGAAGAGTTGGAGGACAACGATGATTATTATTATAAACAAGGGGGAAGCGCTAAACCCAGAGGATTATAGTGCCGGGGGGGGGAGGATGTGGAAGGCATTCAGGCTTAATTCGGGGAACTGGAGCACAGATCCAATTCCCTAAATCAAGAGCCCCTCACCAACATCAAGGAACCTTCCTTGAGGGGACAACGATGATTATTATTATTACAATCAAGGGGGAAGCGCTAAACCCGGAGGATTATACAGCGCCTGGGGGGGTATGTGGAAGGCATTCAGGCTTAATTTGGGGAACTGGAGCACAGATCCAATTCCCTAAATCAAGAGCCCCTCACCAACATCAAGGAACCTTCCTTGAGGGGAGGGGACAACGATGAAGAGCTAACCACTACAGAGCTGCAAGAGGTTGAGGTGCAACAGCAACAGACCACAGCTCAGATTATAATCAAAAAGAAGCGCTAAGCCACAAGGGATATACAGCAACCACAGCTCAGAAATTTCCTTGAGGAGGAAGAGAAATGGAGGAAGTTGCCTTCGTCTAAGATGGACATTTGTACAATGTGGACAAAGGTGCAAGCATTTATGGATGAACATTACCCTGACAGCTGTTGTAGGCCGTATTGGCAACATGTACAATGACAATAGTGTCCCATTTTAGGGAAATCTTAGGCCAGAAACAGAGCTCTCGGGACAGATTTTTGTTGCAACAGGGGTCCAGTGACAAGCTGGTCCTAGTAGCATTAAAAAACAAAGAAGGGAGGTAACCCCAGAAAAGGACTCGTTACCTAGTCTTTATGGAAGGGGATTCCCCTTCCAAACAACTGTAAATTCCTCTGCCCTCCTCCCATCTCATCACTCATCAATAAGTCCTCAATAAAGGTGTCATTTCAGTATTGTTTATTATGCACGTCTCATTGTTTTCTGTGCAGGGAAGTGTATATTTCCATGGAAAAAAAAAGATTTTGTTTAATACTTTTGGATGTCTGGAATGGATTAATTGGATTTCCATAGTCCTGCAGTGGAAGAGAGGAGACTGGGGAAATGGGGGGGGGGGGGGAACAGAAGAAGAGTCCACACGATGGGAGTGGTGAACCTCCACCTTTGTGCGAGTGTTAGAAAGGGGGGAGAGAACTAGGCACCAAAGCCAAAAAGGAAAACTGTTGGGGAATTGTAAGCACAGGAGGAATGCAAAGAGACTTGGGCTTATGAAACAGGTTCAACTTTGCAGGTTATAGGCACGAAGAAGATGCAGAGGCCTTGCAGACAAGAAGTAAAGGTAGGAATAGGCAAGGAGGTGGGAGTTTGAGGGTAAAACCACAAAAGAATTAGAGACGGGTGACCCGGAAGACATGACACCGAAGGAGCTGGTAGGTGGGGGACTGCCAAGGTTGGGGGTCTTCTAGCTACTCTAGAATAAGGAACACTAGGAAGATTCCCCTGAAGGCAGAGCCAAGATGGCCATAGCACAAGCAAGGCTTTCCCTCCCCTAAGACAACTGATTTCTCATTCCTCAAGATATTATAATCAAAAAGCGCTAAGCCACAAGGGCTATACAGCGTCCATCAAGATAGACCTAACATCAATGGGAAAAAGGACGATGCTCATTGCAATCGAGACAAGTGAGGGGGGGGGGGGGGGTGAAAGACTGCAAGATGTATCAGCACAATCTGCAGCACCGCAGACTGGGCAAGCTGCCGCAGAGCTCCAGTATTTAGCAGGGCGTCCAAAGCGCCTACAACTTACTCTTGTGGAGTAGGGACCACTAGGCGATGGCCCATGATGTAAACCGAGGACAGAAGGTTAGGTGGGTGATGTTACTGGAAAAGTGCCTCTGCCCGTGAGCGGGCTTGACATGTGTATCCACTTGGAGAATTGGGAGGTCCTGAAGGGCTAATTGCTCCAAAATATCACTGCAAGACAATGGTACGTGGTAAAATCACCGTACCACTGCAAGAATTGAGAGTAGTGCACTTGCAATAAGTATGTTATCAATTGAAGATGGGAAAGACGAGAGTGTTCTGCATTCTAATTGGAACGCTGCGCCCATCACTTCAAGGAATGTAAATGGATACATTTTGGCTGTCGTAAAAGAGCTTTACCAATACTATGGTTGGAAAGATAATCAGTGGGAGATTTCAGTTGTAGGGAAAAAATTTAGTCCACTGCATACTTGTAAACATGGTGCATAATGGAAGTGGGTGTCGCGTAGGTCGTTTTTGGGTAGAATGAGTAGACATCGAAGATGTGTAGGCATAGTACTGCGGGTGGCCTGACCTGAGGTAGGTGGGCGATCTGAAAACCATCGCACCATATTCGGGGAAGCCGGATGCATAGTTAAAGGTATGCAAGAGGCAGAGGCACTAGCAGAAATGGGCAGGTGACAGTGTTACCAGCAGAAGGTACAGGGGTATGGGAAAAGTCTGGAGAATGGTCCAGTAACAAAGCTGGGTCAGAACAGGATGCAGAAACAAAGGGGCTTGGGAGGAGGGGGGTCATCACGGAACGAAGACTCCACGATAGCGTTTTCTTATTTTAAAGAAAAAAAAAAAAAAAAAAAAAAAAGGGGACAGTCACTAGAGAGCATGAAAGGGCCATTACTAGTCCTCCCTTTCATCTGAGTGGACCTCAAGACTGCTAGCAGTGCTGAACCCATGCCATACCCTACACTTCATGCCAGTAAATCAGCGCTCCAGGATAGCAACCTCGCACCTACCGAGCCACTTCGGCGGACAAGAGGGCAGTCGGAAACCCGCCACAAAGAATACCTTCAGTTGCCACCTCCCAGAACCGACAGGCAGCCTCTGGAGATACACCTGTCATCTGCAGGACACCCCACCCCACCTCTTGGAAATCCAGGAAGGGAGCAGGAAGCCTCCAGATAATCCAAATTCCACGGCAAACCACACCTGAGGAACCCTACAGTGGGATGAACCTCGGCACACTCCCCCCCCCACCTAGAAACCGTAATGCCAGAGGGGAGGACCCCCAGAGGCTACAAATAGGACAGGGAAAAGGGAGGGTTGAGAAGGGGGGGAATGGGAGGATTGGGGGGTAATTAAATTTGGTCTAAGGAAAGAAACCAAAGGGTCTAACTCCTCCAACCAAGAGCCCCCTCCACCCTTTGAAGAGGATCAATCTGCAGACTAATTGCTCAAAGTGAAAGCCTCTGCCACATCAAGAGAACCACTCCTTCCCCCTTCTCCCAAAGAGCAACTAGCCTACCAAATTACCATTGCACCTTGTGTGTGTCATATTTAAAACATTTCCTCAGTGCTATTACTAAACCCTCATGCTTAATTGAGGTTGTTTTCCAAAGAGGATTTTTCTTAAGATTTTATTAGAACATGTATACAGTAAAATTGTCATCTAAAATAAAACTATCTGACCTTTTACAGGTCCCATTCAGATATGGTAAAGATTTTTTTTTTTAATTAGCCCAATAATTACTAATTAGGTTTACCAAATTTAATAATTGTGGCTTGTTTCCATTGAGGTAGTCTTCCTCATGCTGCAGCCCTTGAGTCGGTTAACAGGTCCAGCATATATGCAGGGGAAATGAACCCAAGGCACTTGCAAAGAACTGATTTTACTATATGATGATTAAACATTATGGGTAAATAGAGCTGAACATTAACAAATCTTACAATGATTTGGGATATGAGAGAATCAGTTTCCACTTGAGGATGCGGGAGGGTAGACTATTCCTTGGCACTAAATCTTTTAAAACCCTTATGAAATATATATAATTATTAACTAAGTTAAAATATGCAAGTCTTGCTGTAAAGGAAAGGTAAAGAATAAAAAAATTTATATAAACAAAGCAAATATTAAAATCATACAAATTAAGGACAGTTTCCTATTGCCAACAGCATTCAGGATTTTGGGGCAATAGAAAACATTTTTAAATAGCTTGCCTTATCAGATTTTGTAATACAAAGTATTTACAATAGCTCTGGCTCTGAATCAGATTAGTATCAAGAGAATTTCAAGAAGTAATTGGGATCTGACTCGAAACGTAAATTCGAGAGCCAAGCCTATTACAAATAAGGCACAAAAACCTTACAGCATTCATGAATAAAAAGTTTGGCTGGCATACGTAAATGCAAAAAGCCTTTATAAATTTACGCACCACCTTTACATCGTCATCTGATGTGCTGCCTACAGCAATTTTTGCCGTGACTGCTATAAATTCAGATAGGAGTTTTCCTAGCTTCACTTCAATATCATAGTAGTTATATGGTGGTAAATCCTGTCTGCCCATACCTTTCACTGCTCTTGGTTTATTGTAATCTAGTCTGCATTCTGAGCATGCCTTTGCTATGGGGTGAATTTCATTTTTGCACATCAAACACTTTAGATCCATTTCAAATCTTGGTAAATTCACAAATGTTGGCCAGTCATTCTCACATGCCTCGCATGTGCATGTGAAATGGAATGGCTTCATTATTGCATCCCTCCTGGAATCTCTGTCTGCACTAAGAAAACTATCTCCATAAGATACTGTTAATGATCCGCCAGGAGGGATAAAATGAGTTGCTCTCACAACCTTAGTTTTCCCATAAAAAAATTCAACACAGTTGGGATTGCAGGCATGATTTATGAGACTCAATGGATAAGCTGCATATCCACATGCTTCTATGGAGCTCTTCTGGTGGTCAAGCACATTTTCCTGGAAAAGTAAATTCAGTAACTGAAAAAAGAAGCCACACATTTATTTTGTACCATTTATGCTATAAGAGTAAGAATCACTCGGTAAGAATCACTTAAGATTTTTACTTAAATATTGACCTTTGTACACTGGGGAAGGAAAAACATCTGGACTTCTATCCAAGTGTATTAAACAAAACACTGAAATACTGTGCTGTAGGTACTGATTTAAATCTTACAATCAAAACAATGGGCTTTCTGCATGCACAACTAAATGTCATCCATGTATGTACAAACACTATCAGGCTGAAAAATCGATTATTAACCCTTTCACTGTCGAGACTCCTGATCAAAAACTTGCTCTGTTGAATTTAGAAAAAAATTTAAGAAATGATTCAATCTTTTCCTGAAGGTAATGACACCAAAATTACAAAATTTCACTGAAAACTTACAGAATGACGCTCTCACAAAGTTAGCGGTCTCTGCAATATTTACACAGCGGCGATTTCACCCACTTTGAGCCCTATTTTCGGCCAATTCCATTGTTCTGGTTGACCAAATTGTTCTATCGAATGCGTACAAGAAACCGTCCATTTACCGATTTCAACTATCCAATAAACTGATCAGAAATAGGCAATTTGGCCAATTTCACACACAATTCAAGTAAAGTCAATTTCAAAACAGGGTCTAGAATTAACGATTCAAGCATTCCTAGCACTAGAATAAATGTTCATTAGCCACGTCTCCAGGCCCCTCTTATATTCACACAAAAAACAGATTTACTGTTATGCAGACTACTGCATTATTGTAAAAATGGTATAAACATTAGCACATTTGTAAAAGCACAGACCTACCAGTTGACGTGTATTGGATGCGTGATTCAAACAAGACCAAGAATACTAGAATACAACCATAAATACCACACGAAAATACTGGATATTCGGTGTATTAAACCAAAATCACTAATTATGCACTGCTGGATTTTTTTATGATCTGCACACTGACCACTCAGACCCACTCTCATATGCAAGCCTATCAGCTTCCTTCTGCAAGATTGGAAGCTGCAAGAATTTTGGCATATTATGGCACCAACACTGGCCATAAACCCATAAGTTTGTGAGGCAGTAGGTAAAATGAAAGGGGGTAAGGCAGCCGGGATTGATGGGATAAAGATAGAAATGTTAAAAGCAGGTGGGGATATAGTTTTGGAGAGGTTGGTGCAATTATTTAATAAATGTATGGAAGAGGGTAAGGTACCTAGGGATTGACAGAGCATGCATAGTTCCTTTGTATAAAGGCAAAGGGGACAAAAGAGTGCAAAAATTATAGGGGGATATGTATACCTGGTAAAGTGTATGGTAGAGTTATTATTGAAAGAATTAAGAGTAAGACAGAGAATAGGATAGCAGATGAACAAGGAGACTAGGAAAGGGGGTGTGTGGACCAGGTGTTTACAGTGAAACAAGTGAACAGTATTTAGAGAAGGCTAAAGAGGTCTTTGTGGCATTTATGGATTTGGAAAAGGCATATGACAGGGTGGATAGGGGGACAATGTGGCAGATGTTGCAGGTGTATGGTGTAGGAGGTAGGTTACTGAAAGCAGTGAAGAGTTTTTATGAGGATAGTGAGGCTCAAGTTAGAGTATGTAGGAAAGAGGGAAATTATTTCCCAGTAAAAGTAGGCCTTAGACAAGGATGTGTAATGTCACCGTGGTTGTTTAATATATTTATAGATGGGGTTGTAAGAGAAGTAAATGCGAGGGTCTTGGCAAGATGCGTGGAGTTAAAATATAAAGAATCACACAAAGTGGGAGTTGTCACAGTTGCTCTTTGCTGATGACACTGTGCTCTTGGGAGATTCTGAAGAGAAGTTGCAGAGATTGGTGGATGAATTTGGTAGGGTGTGCAAAAGAAGAAAATTGAAAGTGAATACAGGAAAGAGTAAGGTTATGAGGATAACAAAAAGATTAGGTGATGAAAGATTGGATATCAGATTGGAGGGAGAGAGTATGGAGGAGGTGAATGTATTCAGATATTTGGGAGTGGACATGTCAGCGGATGGGTCTATGAAAGATGAGGTGAATCATAGAATTGATGAGGGGAAAAGGGTGAGTGGTGCACTTAGGAGTCTGTGGAGACAAAGAACTTTGTCCTTGGAGGCAAAGAGGGGAATGTATGAGAGTATAGTTTTACCAACGCTCTTATATGGGTGTGAAGCATGGGTGATTAATGTTGCAGCGAGGAGAAGGCTGGAGGCAGTGGAGATGTCATGTCCGAGGGCAATGTGTGGTGTGAATATAATGCAGAGAATTCGTAATTTGGAAGTTACGAGGTGTGGGATTACCAAAACTGTTGTCCAGAGGGCTGAGGAAGGGTTGTTGAGGTGGTTCGGACATGTAGAGAGAATGGAGCGAAATAGAGTGACTTCAAGAGTGTATCAGTCTATAGTGGAAGGAAGGCGGGGTAGGGGTCGGCCTAGGAAAGGTTGGAGAGAGGGGGTAAAGGAGGTTTTGTGTGCGAGGGGCTTGGACTTCCAGCAGGCATGCGTGAGCATGTTTGATAGGAGTGAATGGAGACAAATGGTTTTTAATACTTGACGTGCTGTTGGAGTGTAAGCAAAGTAACATTTATGAAGGGGTTCAGAGAAACCGGCAGGCCGGACTCGAGTCCTGGAGATGGGAAGTACAGTGTCTGCACTCTGAAGGAGGGGTGTTAATGTTGCAGTTTAAAAACTGTAGTGTAAAGCACCCTTCTGGCAAGACAGTGATGGAGTAAATGATGGTGAAAGTTTCTTTTTCGGGCCACCCTGCCTTGGTGGGAATCGGCCAGTGTGATAAAAAAAATTATTATAATCAAAAAGAAGTGCTAAGCCACAAGGGCTATACAGCGCTGCAGGGTAGGGAAGGAAGAGAGGGTATTGGGCGATAGAAGGGGGGGAGGGATGATCAGTAGGTTACAGAAAACAGCGGGGCAGGGGATAGTGCGGGGGTAGAGGGCAGCAAGAGATCGAGGTAGAAAGGGCTGAAGGTATCATCAGAGTTTGTGAAGAAAGTCAGTTGTCAAAAAGTCAACAAGTGTCCGGATGAAAGGTGGGTCCATCAGCGAGAAGGGAAGGGAAAGAGCAGCGGAGCGAAGACGACGTTGGAGGTATATTCTGTGTGCTCGTCGATAAAGTGGGCTGTCTAATAGAATGTGGCTAACCGATAATGGAACCTGACAATTCTCAGAGGAGCAGGGCGCCTCTCCACGAGATAACCATGAGTAAGATGAATATGGCCAATGCGAAGACAGGAGAGAGTCTCCCAACCTCGACATTGGCGACAAGACGACGGCCAGTAACCTACACTCGGTTTAATAGATTGAAGTTTGTTGCCGAGCATAGTAGACCAATGTTGCCAACGGGTGTGAAGGTGGGAAGATATTGCAGCAAAATAGTCCGTAAATGGAATACCTCTATATGAAACTGGTAGGTCATGTACTGCTGACTGCGCAGCAGTGTCTGCCTGTTCATTGCCCTGTACAGCAACATGACCAGGGACCCAACAAAAAACTATCTTATTTTTTTTTATTATCACACCGGCCGATTCCCACCAAGGCAGGGTGGCCCGAAAAAGAAAAACTTTCACCATCATTCACTCCATCACTGTCTTGCCAGAAGGGTGCTTTACACTACAGTTTTTAAACTGCAACATTAACACCCCTCCTTCAGAGTGCAGGCACTGTACTTCCCATCTCCAGGACTCAAGTCCGGCCTGCCGGTTTCCCTGAATCCCTTCATAAATGTTACTTTGCTCACACTCCAACAGCACGTCAAGTATTAAAAACCATTTGTCTCCATTCACTCCTATCAAACACGCTCACGCATGCCTGCTGGAAGTCCAAGCCCCTCGCACACAAAACCTCCTTTACCCCCTCCCTCCAACCCTTCCTAGGCCGACCCTACCCCGCCTTCCTTCCACTACAGACTGATACACTCTTGAAGTCATTCTGTTTCGCTCCATTCTCTCTACATGTCCGAACCACCTCAACAACCCTTCCTCAGCCCTCTGGACAACAGTTTTGGTAATCCCGCACTCCTCCTAACTTCCAAACTACGAATTCTCTGCATTATATTCACACCACACATTGCCCTCAGACATGACATCTCCACTGCCTCCAGCCTTCTCCTCGCTGCAACATTCATCACCCACGCTTCACACCCATATAAGAGCGTTGGTAAAACTATACTCTCATACATTCCCCTCTTTGCCTCCAAGGACAAAGTTCTTTGTCTCCACAGACTCCTAAGTGCACCACTCACTCTTTTTCCCTCATCAATTCTATGATTCACCTCATCTTTCATAGACCCATCCGCTGACACGTCCACTCCCAAATATCTGAATACGTTCACCTCCTCCATACTCTCTCCCTCCAATCTGATATTTAATCTTTCATCACCTAATCTTTTTGTTATCCTCATAACCTTACTCTTTCCTGTATTCACCTTTAATTTTCTTCTTTTGCACACCCTACCAAATTCACCCACCAATCTCTGCAACTTCTCTTCAGAATCTCCCAAGAGCACAGTGTCATCAGCAAAGAGCAGCTGTGACAACTCCCACTTTGTGTGTGATTCTTTATCTTTTAACTCCACGCCTCTTGCCAAGACCCTCGCATTTACTTCTCTTACAACCCCATCTATAAACATATTAAACAACCACGGTGACATCACACATCCTTGTCTAAGGCTACTTTTACTGGGAAAAAATTTCCCTCTTTCCTACATACTCTAACTTGAGCCTCACTATCCTCGTAAAAACTCTTCACTGCATTCAGTAACTACCTCCTACACCATACACTTGCAACATCTGCCACATTGCCCCCCTATCACCCTGTCATACGCCTTTTCCAAATCCATAAATGCCACAAAGACCTCTTTAGCCTTATCTAAAATACTGTTCACTTATATGTTTCACTGTAAACACCTGGTCCACACACCCCTACCTTTCCTAAAGCCTCCTTGTTCATCTGCTATCCTATTCTC